CCAGCCACTCTGTTCTTGCTCACATTGATCTTGCTCAAATTTCCCTGTCCAGACTGCTCTGCCCTTCCTTCCAGGCCCGGCTTGTACATTGCTTCCACGCAGCTTTTGTGAGTAGGATTCATGTCAGGTATGCTCGTATATTCTCAGTGTGAATAAAGATCAAACAGAATAGGTCTTTCAATGGAGAAAAAAATACTTGAGAGTCTGGTGCTGGTGGCTCTCACCTGTAATCCTAACTATTCAGAAGGCTGAGAGCCAAGGATTGCTGTTGGAAGCCAGACTAGACAGGAAAGTCTGTGAGACTCTTACCTCAGCAAAAAGCCAGAAGTGGAGCTGTGGCTTACATGGTAGAGCACCATCCCTGACAGAGTGCTGTGGCCCTGAGTTCAAGCCCCAACACTGGCACCAAAAGAATATTAAGGAGAGAAGAAGTTGATGAGGTGGAGAGGATACAAATGATAAAGCATATTCTCTGTATAGAAAGAGCATAATGCAATCCACTAAGAACTTTAAATGTTGGTGGTAGGAGGAAGGTGCTAGAAAAAAATGATATAGATGGAGTGAATTAGCTCAAACTACATGATGTACATGTGTGCACATAGTACAATAAAAGCCCTAATCAAAATTAAATGGCCAAAAGGTAAAACAAAATCCTATATTGTGTGCATGCATGCATGCATGACTGAATGAGTGTTTGTGACTAGATTTCCCTAAAGGATGGAGGGGAAACAGATCCGGGAGTCTTGTGGGTTCCAGGGCCCCTGGGTCCAATTTCTCCACTGGCGATGTGTAGGGCGAGTCTCCTTGGGTTTCCTGCCTGTGAAGTGAGACGAGGACGCCAGCCCATTTTCAGGGTGTGATGAGATCTGCAAAGTGCTTTTCTGTGTACTAAGCCCTGGGAGGGGGCACAGTGAAGGCTAATGAGGTTCTTCATGGCTCGCATTCTGAACCCCAGAGGCCACGTGAACCTCTCTGGAATGAAAGCCTGGATTCTGAGTGCTGAGCTGCAGTGTTCTCCAGCCCTGCAACCCTGCTAACAGTTCGGGCTGGCCCAGAGCCCACAGCCTAATGCTCCAAGGTCCTCTGGACCCACCCAAGCCTGTTCCTTTTCCTGAGGCAGGTGTACAGGCTCCAGATTGGAATATGAGCCTTAATCCTTCTCTCCCTCCCGCCCCCCCTCATGAAGAGACTGTAACTGGAGTGCCTTTTGGGGAATTGCATATTCTGGAGATATAATTCAAGTTTTGCAGCCAAGTGTCTATGAAAATAGGATGCGGCAGTGTTCTTTCAGAAGGGGCACTGGAGTTTGAACTCAGAGACTTCCTCTTGCTAAGCAAGTTCTCTACCACTCTAGACACTCTTCAAGCCCTTGTAACAGTTAGTTCACGTTTGAACCACCTTGAATGTGGATCCTCCTACCTTTTCCTCCTGTGCAGCTGTGATTATAAGCCTATGTCAGTATGCCTATAGTTTAAGAGAAGGTCTCAGTAACTTTTTCCTGGTTAATTTGGAACCTTAATCCTCCTATTGCTGCTTTCTGAGTAGCTGGGATTATAGGCGAATATCACCACATCTGGCTTTGCCACAGTTCTTGCTAGATCTTTCTTTGTGTGTGTGTGTCAGTTGTGGGGGCTGAACTCTGGGCCTGGGTGCTGCTGTCCCTCAGCTCTTCAGCTCAAGGCTAGTGCTCTACCATTTAGCCACAATGCTACTTATTTCCAGCTTTTTCTGCTTATGTGGTGCTGAGGAATCGAACCCAGGGTCTCATGCATGCAAGGCAAGCACTCTACCACTGAGTCATCTTCCCAGCCCCTAGATCTTTCTTAAACTGAAGAGCACAGGGTCAGACCCCGTGTGTGTGTGTGTGTGTGTGTGTGTGTGTGTGTGTGTGTGTGTGTGTGTGTGTGTGTGTGTGTGTGTGTGAGACCTAAAAATCACAGCAGTCATCAAATGCATCAACGTTCATGGGAACTTAAGTATTCTGCTCTCAGAACCTGTCTGTATGAAACAGAGTGTTTTCATGTTATGTTTGTGTTCCCTAGGGGGAAAGGAGGAAGCTAGAGGGCTTCAGATCATGTGATTTGCATCTTGTACCATCAAGCAGCACAGAGAAACATATTAATGTCCTCTTGTACTTGTTTTCAAAACCAGCTCCTTCCGTGTTCTTTGGTCAAACAAAGATATTTGTGAGAGAATTTATAAGATCCAAATTCATCTGAATGGTTTTTTTTTTGGGGGGGGGGTCACAGGAAGCTTGGATCCAAAGGTGAGAGCTGCTGACCTCTTGGTTCTGGAAGCTGAGCCCCCTACTTGAAAAGTTTGACCTTAAACCTTTTCAACTTCAAGACCATAATAAGTACTTTTACTTGGGCTAGATTTTCATTGACAGTGAGTGGAGGGATGGGTCCCTTTCAAAAAATGGTCAAGATACTAACATTGCTTTGGTCACATAACATTTTCACTGATGATGTCACCTACTCACCCACTGAAGGAATCCTTTGTATGGAGACACCTCTGCATTAGCACCTGTACCTGAAGAGAAGCAAGAAGCCATTTACAAAGGCCAAGACGTCACGTAGCATCCTTAGACCTCTCCGTGGCTCACAGCTTTATTTTCACTAAGGCCAATGCTGTTTTTGGGAAGACTGGCCACGTGAGGGGAACTTTAAATTTTGAATTTCTGTAATGCACATTCATTTTTTCCCCTTCCTTATTTTACTCTTTGGATGAGAGAATTGTTTGGTCATTAGACTGGTGGCCATATTTATACCTAATGAATTTTGGATAGCTATTTCTTCTCTTCCAACCCTTCTCACAAATGAACAACTCCTCTCTCCCTTGCCAAACCCCCAAACATCAGCTAGCCTTATGGACAAGAATTTTCCTTCGGACCTGATCAGCCAGGCTGTACTGAGGAACAGGAAGAAAGTGGGCGTGCCCGAAGCTGGTGCTTCCGGGCAGTCAGCACTGGCTTTTCCTTCCACAACTTATGAATATGTAGTTTCTCGGTTTCTGTGTTCATCTCTTGTTACCTCTGCAGTACAAAGTCAAGGGGGGAGATTTCTGTCCAGCATGCATTGAATCTGACAACATGGCCCTCTCTTATACTGTTACTTTCCTACAATAATAGGAAATCTTTCGGGAACCTCAATCCAAAAATCAAAGCCCTCAGACCCAAACTTCAAGACCTGCAAGTGTATTTCAGTTGTAGTGCTTGCTTCTCTTGGGTTGCATTCTAAGTACTGCAAAAAGAAAAAAGAAATAAACAACCCAAAACTCAAAAAAAGAAGAGAGAAGACGGAGATGTTGACACTCTACTCATTATGGAAGAAACAGAACTCATACATGTGAAGGTGATTAATCATCTTTATTGGAGGAAAACAAGAAGTCATCAATCTCATTATGATAGAAATATTGATATGTATACATGATTGTCAAGGCAGAGAATCATTGGTTACAGAGACCCATGGACAATTGTGCAGAGCCGCAAACTGAGGGGGGTTAAAACTTCTTGCAGAGTTTATTACATGCAAGGAATAAATGCACAATTTCCCTTCTTTTGGACAAGCATGTTTTGTTTTGTGGTTTCGTTTTTAATGGAAAGTTTGAACCAATCACAAGCCTGGTAACAGACATGGGGGGACATTCCTGGGCGGGGCATGGTAAGCTTTTGGAAAACATGCTTGCTGTCGTGGGAGGGGGGGAGGGGTGGTAGTGGAAAGGGAACCAAAAGAAGGACAATTCTATTGTGTGTAGCCATAGAAACCAATTTAGAAATGAATCCAATGTATATGCTGGGCAAGAATGTACCTTCCATGTCTTCTCACCTGGTCACGGGACAAAGATAAACTTTCTCTGAAACATGCCTGTCTTAAAATGGAAGATGTTTCGCAATGTTAATGTCTCATGTCGCCCCCAAACAACTAAGTGTTTAGGAAGGAGAATGGCAGGCTTCAGTGCTGCATGTTCTGGTTCCTTCTTTGGGCCACTTGCAGCCTGGCTGTTACTCTGATCCACAGCCCTGTACCCCAAAGCACAAGGCTTCCAAGAGGGCCTAGGAATTCTAGTCTGTCCAAAGCTTTTCCTTGGAGAAACAATTTAACTAGCATTTGGGGACTTTTGAGACCTTGGTGATGTCTGATCTCTACCATAAAGCCTCAAACACTCCTGTCATTTTCATTTTCTTTCCTGTCCATAAGAAAATCAAATCACCTGTTAAGTAGAATAATATGGCAGATCTTTAGAAGATCAGATAATTGTATGACAAGTTCCCCGGAGTGGGGGGGTGGGGTGGGGTAGGAGGGGGAAGGTTAAAAAGAGGTCTGGGGAAATGCAGAAGCGGCCTTAGTACACAGGGTAAATGCAACAGCTTGTCCCTTTGGTGTAGAAAGATACAGACACAGAGAAGCCATTTGCTTTATCCACAAAGCCAGAACTCAGCAGCCACATGCTCAGTGTTTGGCTTCCAAATGCTCAGACTTGGGGTTCGCCCAGCTCCCAGAGCCACAAGCTGAACTGCTCTTGCTGCAGGAGGGTAGGTAGTCCAAAAAGGACCAACTCCTTCTGGTTGACTCTGGGAGCTTCGGCTGCTGTGTGGAGCAGGAGGCAGGTCAGGCCACGGCCAGCATGCAGAACAGATTTGACAGCAGGGCTGCAGACCATGATGCACTGGGGTCACTGAGGACTCATGGATGGGGAGTGGGGGCTTTTTGCTTCTTCTTTCTCTCTTCCATAAACCTGCCTGCTACACAGGGTTGAGGTTTGCAAGATAATTTATCAGTGGACACATTTTCTAGTGGTGTCAGAAAATAACACTCTGCACCTTTCAGCATCTGTTTTCCAGTTCGTTTTTGTTTTTTTGGGTTTTTTTAGATCTCAACATTTTGAATTCTGAAACATCATGGAATACCTTTTCCAAAAATATCAAGTACACTTGTAGCCCAGATCTACAACCAGGTAGATCATATACTTCTATATACATCTTTTTTTTTCCCCCCCTGCCTTTTGGAAACAAACGAAACAGTGTTTGGTCTGGAATGTGGTAAGAAGGCCAACTCTGCAGGGAGGAGACAGGAGAGGGAGGAAGTACTTGGTTAGTATGACATGCAAAGCGCTCGTGCACTGATTAGATCGCAGGGCCCGAGTTTCATTTGCCAGGAATGACTGGGCCAACCTGGGAAATCTGTTTTGTTTTTTTTTTTAATGAAAAAATGGGAGGAGCTTCCCTTTGCTGGTCCATGCCTTCCTTTCTCATATCTCCTGCCTTTAGTCCCAGAGTAGTGGCACAGGTATGCTTTTGCTAGTATAAAGGATCAATTCTAGCCAAAGCTTTGTTCATAAAACCTCAAGTTTCCACAGGTTGATTAGGTTAAGCCTGATTTTCCATGAGGAAAATCCTTTTAACAGGGAATCATCTCTCTGTGTTTCTGTATCTATGATGGCTTTGACTCTGAAGGGAATTCCCCTCTCCCATCCACCATCCACCATCCAGCCCATGCTGGACACTATGATGAACAAATGAACAGTATGAGGCTCATGTGGGAGAGGTAAACTGAGTCTGGATGCCAAATTCCTTTCAGCAGACTGCTAATGTTTTCTACTGTTCAACCATGAGCATCTTCTTCTGTCCTATGTGTAACTGCTGAGTTTCCCAGATACGATGCTAAGAGCTAGTTGGAGACTGACACCCTTCCTAAAGTCACATGATGCCGTGCCCTGTTCTTGAAGTGAGATTTGATGTATACCTATTTAACTAGTAGTAGTGACTGAACCCAGGGCTTCACATTTGCTAGGCAAGTCTCTTATCATTTGAGCCATGCTTCCCATCCTTTTTTGCTTTCATTTATTTTTCAAGGAAGTCTAGTGCTTTGGTCTGGGAGCCTCAGCCTGCGATTGTCCCATCTCTGCCTCCTGGGTAGCTGGACATACAGTTGAGATTATATGTACCACCATGCCTGGCCTTGAGGTGAGATTTTTAGAATCAAGAACAGGAAACTATACCAGCTTTTGGGAGGGAAGGGGGAAGGTAGGAGGGACATGGTTTCTCCACAGAATTTTTTTCTTTTAAAAAGAGATTAAACAAGGTGTATTTTCCCTTTTGGATTTGCCTATGGAACTAGGGGCAGAAGAAGGTGATGAATACCAACCTGTTGCAAACATGAGCCCTGGGGTTGTTATTTCTCTAATCTAGCAGCCCCAGTTCCCTTAAGGCTATTGTAGATAAAAATGAACTTTACCTAAGCATGCTCTGCTCACTCCCAGCTCCTGCTCTCTTTACCCTACCCCAATATCAGGCTTCAGGACTCCAGGAGGACCTCGTATCATCACCCTATCTGTGATGTATGTGGGAACAGGTTGATCACTTGTCTGACTTTTCTGTATTCTTATATATCTGGCCCTGGCCCTGTGTCCTTAGGGAGGTAGCCTGGGGATGCCAAGTCTTACCACACACTGTGTGGGGGTGGTGTGTGTGTGTGTGTGTGTGTGTGTGTGTGTGTGTGTGTGTGTGTGTGTGTGGTGTGGTATATGTGTATGTGTGTTAGAAAGAACCATCACCTATCACAGGCAAAAGTTGGGGAATGACAAAGGTGACTTGCTTGACTGGACTCTCCATGTCTGGCCATCTATAGAAGGGCCTGAGGACAGCAGCCAGAATGGTCACTGGTTATCAGACACATCTACTTGGACCCCTACAGAACTGAACCTCAGGATAATAGAAAGGCATGAGGGCTGATGGAGGACTTTTGCAAAGCTGGCACCCAGAGCCACCTGTCTGGCTCTACAGGCTCTACCTTGGCGTATGTTTCCCCTGAGTTGCACATTACACTTGCACCCTCCTAACACCCAACCACCATGTGAGTTACATGGTGTAGTTTGTAGGCACCAACAAAAGTCCCACATACTGGAGAATCCATTAGTTCCTGGCAACTTGGGGCATTTCATGACCCTACCACCACAGGTTTTTGATTTTTGGCTTTGTCTAATGAGAGATAGCTTCATGTACCAGCTGAGCCATCTCTAGTGGTGGTCAGTGTTCTTTTCACTTGATGGGTCAGTTTTCTTTACCACTCTAAATAAATGGTGTCTTCTTCAAAGCTATTTCCTTTCCCTCTCTTGTGTAACATTCGTAAGAGAATAGTATTTAAAAAAAAAAGTCGCAAAACAACCTGTGTGTGTTAGAGGCCATTTTAAGTATAAGATTAGAAATTCATTAAAAATAAAAACTCAGAGGACGAGATTAATTTTAAAAGTGCATAGCTAAGGTCAGAGTTTTTGACCGTCATCCCTCATGAGAAATGAGGGCTGCTTAAAGTATGTCCTTAAACAAAATGGCAGCCATTTCCTCTGTAATGGCGGCTCCTAAATCATGACATTGTGGGACTGTCAGTCACAGAGTAAGGGTTGCCTGTGAAGTGGAGCCTTTGGGTCTCAGGGGAGCGGGCTTCATTTCTGCTGTGGTGGGGGGATTGCTGGAGGAGATGCTAGAAAGGTTTTCTGAAGTTTCCCCCCCTAGAGTTTCCTGGAGAGAAGATAGCCCCACAGAACTAAGCTGTCTTCCTATAGAAACAAAGACATAGGACAGAAAGAAAGTGCATTCTTAGCCTTGGAGATGGATTCTTGATCCTCTCATTCAAATTTTTAAAAATACCTTTAAATTCCCCATGGAGGAAGAAAAAAAACTCTCTTAAAGGTTAACATAAAACTACTAATGAAGAGCAAAAATACAGATCATGGAACTGAAAGATACAGATCAAAAGACATAACCTCCAAAAGAAAAGAGAATCCTAATGCACAATATTTACCAATATTTAAATAATCCAGTTGAAACCTTTTTTTTTGTTTTGTTTTTCATGAAAAAAAAAATACACCCTAGATGGCTGCCTATGCTGAGAAAGGTGGAAATGACGGAGTTGGGGGAGAGGAATAAGAAGGTCCATTCTGTTTCGAGATTCTTATATACAGCACCAGCTCCCCTTGAGTCTGTACAGTTTGTGAGAAATGAACACTTCAGAATTGCAGTATAAAATATGGCCATAAAAAACCTTCTGTCTTCCAGTCCTAAGCAGGTAAGTGCACCATGCAGGGTGGGGTCTCCAACAATGGAGTGGTTCCGGCCTGGTGCTCTGGGGCTCCCCTTCCCCGGCCCTGCCCCCTGGGTCCCACCTCCAGAGCGGGTCACTTGCTTCCGGTGTGCACTGTTGTCACAGTGGTGGGCCTGGGTCTCCGCTCAGCTCCAACTCCTGAGACCCCTGATGAAGAGGAAATAAAACTACACAGCGTGGAAGGTGCCAGGCCTGTAGGGGAACAGTGGAACATAGGTTAATTCATGCTCCCCTTTCCCTCCCATCACTGCTTTATGAGGGGCTGCATTACAGAGGAGCAAAGTATTACCCATTTGACCACTGTGTTTCTTTCTGGGATCATACCTTGGGTGTCAGTCGTGGGGCTTGAACTCTGGGCCTGGGCACTGCTGTCCCTCAACTCTTCAGCTCAAGGCTCGCACTCTACCACTTGAGCCACAGTACCACTTCTGGCTTTTTCTGCTTATGTGGTGCTGAGGAATTGAACTCAGGGCCTCAAGCATGTGAAGCAAGTGCTCTATCACTGAGCCACCTTCCCAGCCATACCTTGGGTCTCTTGCATGCTTAGATAATACTTTACCACCAAGCCACCATGTTCTCCATTTTTATCCACATCTAGAGAAACTTTTACAATGTGTTCAAAATGCTTTATTCTTAAATCCAATTCCCTCTTTGTGTGTGCTTGGTAATAATTATACTGGCTTTGTATTTGGGAATGACATGGCTTTTGACACCATGTTTTGCATCTTACAAAGCATGGGGAGTGATAGGAATGGCTGGTTTTCTTACAACTGCTCCATGAAGAATGAAGGAAAGCTCTCTGTTCCTGTCTGGCCTTTGGCTGGTATGCTGTAAGAAGCATTTTGAGACACAGGGCACTTTGAAATGAGGATCTTCATCTATCTCTATGTGGACTTTGCAGCCTCTTGTCCTAGAAACACGCCCCCTCCAGGCAGCCCTGAAATCTCCCTATGCAGATGTGTCAATCTGGATATGAAATATCCCCAAAGGGCCTATGGCAGTATTTAAAAGTGACCGCATCTTGGGATCTCTAACTTAATTGATGGATTAATCCACTGATGGATCCGTAGTTGAACAGGTGGGGCCTAATTGGAGGAAGAGGCCATGGGGTAAGTCTTCGAAGTGTATATCTTCTCCCTGGCCTCTCTGTCCTCTTTTCCCCTCACTTCCTTCCTGTCCTTCTCTCTTTTCCTCTCCTCTCTACATCTGCTTTCTGGTTCCTATCAAGTGAATATCCCTGTTCCGCTGTGCCCTTCTGCCACGATCCTTTAACACAGGCCCAGGTGACCCTGGTCTGAAATCTCTGGAAGTGTGAGTCAAACAAGATCAATCTTCTTATTCACTATTTTTTCACTCAGGTGTTTTGTTACAGTGACAGAAAGCTGACTGACACAGCCACAGAAGGCCCCAATGTGGGAGCACCAGCTGTTGCTGTTCAGCTCCAGAGGACTTGGCTCCAGCCCCTGTGTCAGCTTGGATGTAGGGAAGGCCGTTAAATAAGATATTACTGTGAGCTTTGCTGTCAGTGTCATCGCATGACTCTCTAAAGAAATGATATTGGTAGTGTTCCTTTGGTCAGAGGTGAGGATGGGTCTATAGGTGACATGTGAATGTGGTATTTAGGAGTATGTAACCGTGTCAGGAAATTCATAGGGATGTTTTGGGAGAATTTAAGGATTGAACAGTCCTAAATGAGATGGGATGGCTCTGATTTGTGTTTGCAGTTCTGGGGGCAGAACCCAGGGCTTATGCATGCTAGGTAACTGTTCTACCACCGAGCTATGTGCCAGTCCTTGGTTGTTTGAGACAAGCTCCTGCTATGTAACCCAGGCTGGCCTTTGACTTACTATTTATCAAGTGGCCTGAACTCATGGTCTTCCTGCTTCTGCCTCCTGAGTGTTTGGACTAGAGGTAAGCATCACCATTCCTGGCAATGTGATGTTTGTCTGACTGTCTCTCTCTCTCTTTACCAACAGTACTAAGGATTGAACTCAGGGCCTTGTGTTTGCTAGGCAGGCACTTTACTGCTTGAGGCATGCCCCAGACAACTAATGGGATTTCTCCTTAAAGAGGAAAGAAGCCCTTTTCTGAGCCAAATGGGAAGGAGCATCATGCTCAAGGTGGGGCCGAGCTAAAGGGCTATGCAGTGGTTGTGGAGATGAGGGCCAATGGGGATGATCAATTGCTCTGAAGTAGAAAGAAGCCACTGGAATAGCCTCATAGGAGTTTAAAATTAATGTGGAGAGGGGGCTGTGGAGGAGAGAAGTAAGAAGACTGTTAGTGTGCTCTCCAGGGAATTATATTCTACATAAAGATGAGAGATAATAATATTACTATTACTTTTGTTGCAAAGCCAATGCATGTCATATAAATGAACTCAAATTACCATCACTCATCAGAACAATGATAAACATTAGAAATCAGTGGGGTCAGGCTCTCAGGACCCTAACTTCCTTCCCACAATCCTTAAGAGTACTGATACAATGAGAGCAAACTGAGGAAGAGGAGACAGAGTAAGGAATGACTAGGCCCTACCCTGACAGGCTGGCTATGTGGAACTTGAACCACAGATTTCTCATCTCTAAATGGAAACAATGATACCAAGTGTGTAAGTACTGAATAGTTATGTTTACAAAATATTGTGTTAGGATAGCTGGGAGCATGAAAACAGGGTAAAGCACTGAAAATGCTGGTCAAACAGTAGGTGCTCAGGCCAGGACCTCTCTCCTCTCCACCCAGACCCATCTCAGATACCCACTAAAGAATTCTGGCTTTGCTACATACGCACAATCTTTTTGACTGGCCAAGCTGAGGCTGCTGGAGACACTTGCACTTGAACTATCCAGGCTGCTGCCGAGGTGTAGTCTCCTCATATGTCTTACCACAGCGGTGGCATTAAATGCTTGCTGAAATTTAAGAAAGAAAACACAAGAGAGAAAGGTCAGAGGCTCCTGATAGATAAAAGAAGACTCTGAATGCTTCCTTTTTCTTACCTGGTTACTCAAAGCGTCACAAGCTGCCATCTCCTATTCTGCTTTTCTATTTGGGGGAATGGGTAATGCTGGGATTTGGATTCATGACCTTGTGCTTGCTAGGCAAGTGGTCTACTACTTGAGCTGTACCCTCTTTTTGGCGGAAGTTGCTGATACTGGAATTTGAGTTCAGGACCTTGCACTTGCTAAGCAGGTGCTCTAGCACTTGAGCCACATCCCTAACCATTTGGCTTTCGTTATATTTTGAATAGAGCCCTACATTTTTATCCCAGCTACCCTGTATCTCAATCCTCTTAGTTACACTTCCCTTGTAACTTGGATGACAAGCATGTACCAACATGCTCAGCTCATTGATTGGGATTGGGTCTCACAATCCCAAGTGATCCACCCAAGTTTGATCCTCAACTTTGGGCCACTGTGCTCAACCTTCTTTCCATTTTTCTTTCCTTTCTTTCTTTCTTTCCTTTCTTCCTTCCTTCCTTTTTCTCTCTTTCTTTCCTTTTGCTTTCCCTTTCTCTCCCCTCCCTCCCTCCCTTCCTTTTTTGTGGCAGTTGGGATTGAATTCAAGACCTTAGACTCGTTTTTAGGCCAATACTCTACCACTTGGTCCATGCTTTTAGCCCTTGTTTAGTGTCTTTTTCAGATCAAGTCTCATGCTTTTGCCCAGGTAGCCTGAATTACTATTTCTGCCTCCTGACTAGCATGGATGACAAGGGATTATTCCCTATCCAGTTTGTTTTTGAGAAAGAGCTTTGCTGATTTTTGCCAAGGCTGGCCTTGAACACGGAACCTCCAGTCACTGCCTCCCAAGTAGGTGAGAGTGCTGTATGTATCACATTGCTTGGCCACACACTTCTTAAAACATACTCATAATACTTTGGGAAGCAAATTTATATTTCTCTTGTTAAAAAAGTATGTGTTATTTAAATTTCTTGACTCTGTGTGTGGGGAGTGGGGGGTAACTGAGGCTTGAACTTCCACCCTCATACTCTCAGTTGGCTTTTCCCGCTTAAGGCTGGCCACTCTACCATTTGAGCCACACTCTAGTTTCAGCTTTTTGTGGTTAATTGGTGATGAGTGTCTTACAGATTTGTCTGCCCAAGCTGGCTTCCAGCTACAATCCTCAGATCTCAGCCTCCTGAGTACCTAGGATTACAGGTGTGAGCAATGGATGACCAACAAGATACTCTTGAGGCTTAAAAACAGTTTGCTCCTGATGTCAAAAATTTATATAGAGAAGCGTAAAACAATTTATTCTGAATTTTGAGATGTAGCTTGAAATGAAAGGCAAAAAAATAGCAAAGTGAAAGGTATATATAATAGGCTACCTTCAAACGTAATGTTTAAAAATACTATTTATTTTCCTATAACTGAAATGGATTCTTTTGTGCTAAGCAGTGGCATTTCCTCTGAACAGCATAGGTCGGTGAAGTTAACTGTGTTTCTGTACAGTCTCTCAGTGGCTGTTGACTCTCATGACAAGACAGCTAAAGCTTAATGATCCAGGCTGATTACAACATAGAGTTTGGGTAATCAATAGATGATCATGAGATCTCTGCTTTAAACCCAACAAGTTCTGCCAGTAAATACGGATGAGTTGTGTTCCCATTTTCTTTTCCCCTTTGCGACTCTTCTTTTTAAAAGGTGATTGTTCCAAATTCCAACAGAATAAAGGGAAACAAAGGGGATTAAGTTGTCAAAGAAACAGCCGGTGAGTAAGCCTGGCACCAGTGCTGTCTTTGAGCTGCAGAGAGGAATGGCTAAGATATCTTCTCGTGTGACAGTGGCATCCAGAAACCCAACATGCTCCCATGGTGCCGTGAGCTTCCGGAGGGTGACAAAGGTCACTGGGAAATTCAGCAAACTCAGGACTTACTCTCCATTTGCTTTTTGCAAAGTTCTTCCGGATCTGGGCACTGACGGACTCATGGATGTTCTTGTTGAGGGCTGTGTCACCGGCGATCCTGAAATACAACGAGATTCTTCATAAGGGTTTCCCGGGGCTTCCCCAGCAGCCACCCAGGAAGCCTCATCACACCCTTGAGTGTGTGGCTACCTGGGGCCCCCAGGCTGCTGAGTTGCCCAGGTGACCTGCCTCTGAACCCACGCATGGCACCTTATCACTCCAAAGCCCCACTCTTCTTGCTCCCTTCACAGGCCCTGCCCACAGTCTCTCGCTCTACTTCACTACCCACCTCTCAGGTGAGGTTCCTCTGTTGATGCCCAGTTCCCGCCACACTGAGATCCACAGCAGCAGGACAACCTGGACTCATTGTCCTTCTGCCTCCTCCATCTCAGTTTCAAGACCTGCATGGTGTCACCTCTGAGCCTTCTCATTTGTCCCATGTCTGGTCTGACCACCATATTCTTCTCCAGACCCTGCCTTCCGGCCTCCAACTTCCAGCTTCTGGCTTCCCTATAGCCAGGGCTTATGTCTTCCCTTCCCTGCACTGTCTGCTCCATGGATCTTTTCTTTTTGTATTCTGAGACTTTCAGGTTCTTTCCAGTTCCATCCAACATTCTGTTCAGGCCATGAGACCTGTACCCCTCCCTTTCTCCCAGAAGAGCCTCAGCTCAAGCCTGCAATTCCTAGAAATTATCAGAACTTTGAGGACCACTTTATAGTCAATGGATTTTCCTATAGGCAGCATTTACTGTAGTTCTGGCTTGCTCTTGAACTTTCCTCCATTAACAGGGAGCTATTCAGGCGTGCTCTTACTTCCTCTGCTGAGAGCTCTCCTCATTCGATTCTGAGCTGCTCTCCTTTCATTGTTTTGGGTTTGTCCCTGGCCCTTCTCTTCTGGATTACAAACTCTAGTCTTAGGAATTCCCTAAAGGTCCCTCGCAGCCCACTCTTCTCTTCTGCCAAGCTCTTCTAGATGACAACATTTTAACTTCTTTTATATCCAATTACTTGGCCTTTCTCCTAGGTCAAGGGAAACCATGTTCTACTCTCGGTCCTTCCTGGGCTTTGACCCTCCCATCTTCCTTTTCTGGTTAAGTACTAAAGATGTTGATTCTTGGTTTATATCTAGTGTCTCAGACAGATTTTACTGAGGCTGGGTATGGTGGCACACCTAGCTACCCAAGAGACAGAGGTAGCAGAATGCTGGTGGCTCACACCTGTAATCCTAGCTACCCAGAAGGCTGCGATCTGAGGATTGCAGCTTGAAACCAGACTTGGCAGAATAGTCTATGCAACTCTTTCTCCGATTAACCAGCAATGAACCTGGATTGGAGATATGGTTCAAGTGATAGAGTACCTGCTATAAGCAAGCAAGATGAGTAAGGCCCTGAATTTCAATCCCTGGTAATTCTAAATAATTAAATAAAAATAAGTGAATAAGTAAATAAAAGAGATAGGGAGAGCCAGGGGCTGGTGGCTCACGCCTGTAATCCTAGCTACTCAGGAGGCTGAGATCTGAGGATCACAGTTCAAAGCCAGCCTGGGCAGGAAAGCCCATGAGACTCTTAACCCCAATTAACCAGAAAACCAGAAGTGGACTGTGGCTCAAGTGGTAGAGCACTTGCCTTGAGCTGAAGAGCTGAAGGACAGTGCCCAGGCCCAGAGTTCAAGCCCCATGACCAACAAAAAAACAAAAAGAGAGAGATAAGGAGAAATAAACTAAGAAAGGAAGAAAAGGAAGAAAAGAAGGATAGAAGGATAGAAAATAATTTATTGAGTTTTGGAAAAGTTACACTGCAGGCACCAGAATTCTGGCTCACCTTTCCTGGCTAGAAGACACTTGGGGTGAAAGGAAACTTTCTACCTCCAAGCCCAGAATTCCCTGGACATAAAACACACTGGACACTGAAGACTTTAACTTCCATCTACCTTGAAATATGACACAGCAGATGCATAACCTCACAAGACAAGAACTCATCCCACTCAGACTTTCCTGCATTTGAGAATCACAGACATGGTCATCTAGACAGAGAGTCTGTGCTAGGCAGGCCTGCACAGAGCATCCAGCCTAATATTCCCAGCTAAAAGCAACTGCCCTTAAATATCTTTTGTCTTTTCCCAGCTGAGTTGAAAACACACAGCTAGGAAGATGCTCAGAGAGCAACTGAAATGAACCACATTTCCAGCCACTGCCAATTCCAGCCCTTCCCCAGACATGCACCAGCGAAACAGCAAGAGCACGTCTGAATGGGAAAATTGGAAACAAGAAGAATGAGCAGATTTGGGAAACAGCAGACACTGTTACCAAGCCCATTTCTCCCAGAGATCCCAATGGGAGTGCTTTCTTCTCTTCTGCTCTTTCTGAAAGCAATGTCTTCAGGAAAAGAGGTCAGCTCCAACGTGTCACTGGGCAGCTTAACACCGGGTCCACAGTGGTAGAAGTTGGAACTCCTCAGTCTGAGTACTACTGCAAGGCTAGCAATGGGTTCCAAAGCAAACAGGCCAGGGATGGAAGCCAGGGAGACTCAAAAAACTTGGGTTCTACCTGCCTGTCAATAGTGTGGCCTTTAACACCTCAAGCCCAGGGCCTGCTGCCCTTGCTCTGATTTTCACACCTTCTCTGTGGGCTATCATGGACCCAGATGTGAGGAAAATGCAAACTCAAATATTGCAGGGATGTTGGTGCTCACTTTGCACAGTCCTCTGAAGTTTGGTTGCAGTCAAGCTAGTAGCAGGTGGCCCAGTGACTCTACAAAGTCATCCTCAAGGTGGCTGAAAGATACAGCCACCTTGGGTCACAACAGCACAGCATATCCCTCTTTAAAGGGACACCATGATGGAAATGTGGCTACTATTTATAATAAGCTGAGAAGTTCCCAGTAACGACCTTGACCACCCTGATGCTTGGTGACACCAACTTCAACATTATTCATCAGCAAACTCAAGGCATTGTGTCTTGAAGGTATCCTGGAGGCCACCCTAATTAACTAGAAAGTGACCAATGCTTCTGATAAAGACTTTCCTTGCAATAGATCTGTAAACCTCTGAGTAAACACGTATCATTCGTGTCTCCCTTGCTCTCTGGTTGTATCTCCTACATTAACAACATGGGATCACATCTTTTTCACCCTGTCTTACTAACAGACAATCAAAGTCTTCTCTCTCTGCCTGTGGTATCTTTACACTTCAAACATGGTCTCTTCCACAGCCACAGTTATGGTTTTTGCTAGCCACCTGTTTAATAGTTTGGTGATACCTGCTGTGTGTTCCAGACAGTGCTCCACCACACTCTTGGACCTGGCCAAAAAGAGCTAACGTGGCTGGAGCCCCACTGAGCAAGGGGGTCCTTGGACAACATTCAAGACTGCAATGGTTCATCTTTTTGTGCCAGCTTGCCTAGGACGCGGCATCCAGCTATTTGGCCAAATGCTAGTGTGGCTGTTGCAGTAAAAGTATTTCTGAGATGAAATTATCATGTTGACCAGTAGACTTTGAGAAAAGCAGAAGGACTTTAAGTGGAGTGAGGGGGGGAGAGAGAAGAAGGGACTCTTCTGCTTCCACACTGGCTTCAGGCTCCACCGATCTTCCACAGATCTTCAGCATGTTGGTCTGCCCTAAAGATTTTGGATTCACCTGACTTCCATAATTACATAGCCAATGACTTCATTCCTTAACACAAATGAATCTCTCTTATGCTCATCACTTCAGTTTGCTCCTCAATGAAACTGGAGATTGTTTCAGAACAAACGGAATGGCAAGGACCTCGCAAGGTGCTACCCCTGTTATAGAGATGGGTTCTCATTCTGCTGCCAGCTTTCCCAGACTTTTTGGCAATCAGTGAGCATCGAGCTGGCTCCTGGCTGGGCACCACCGAAAGGAAGGCCAAAATCTCAAGGAAGAACAGCTTGAGAACACCTGGTAAAAAAAACAAACAAACCCTGACAGCCTCCTCCACCAGAAAGTGCTTTGACAAGAACCCTCCACGGCATGGCACAGCCTGTTTTGGAGCTAAGGAAGCATCTGCACTTGTAGATGCCTCTCTTAGCCCTGGGTGCCTCGGGTCAAGTGGGAAGAGCAGGTACAGAATGACACAGGATCCTCTGCAGAATAGATGTGCCACGGCCACAGCTTCCAGGATGGCTTTGCTTTTAGCTACTTGTGTAGTCTTGCCTTGGTTACCTTATCTTCCTCTTTCCTTATCTCTGACATGAACATAAAACCTGCTTCACTGGGTGATGATAAAGAGAACATTTTCAAGCCCTCAGCACAGTGCTTGAAACATAATAGAGACTCAATGAATGCCTGGTGGTATAAATTAAAATGCAGAGCAACTGGGCCATGACACAACCTCTAAGCAGGTCCCCTGGGGAAGGCTAGCAGCATGGAGACACAGGTGGAATGCTAGGGAAGGTGGTGGCGAAATAGAAGACTGGTTTCCCACTTCTTCCTGAATTCAAGGTGCTACTCAGTTCTTTCTATTGTTTTGCAGCAGTGGGGATCAAACTCAAGCATGTGAGGCAAGTGTTCTACACCTCCAATTCCCTATTTTCATTATATGGGGTGCTATGTGAATGAGCCCCCCAAACCCATGCATTAAATGCTGAGTGCTCAGGACTGAGTATGTTTGTCAAGTAGCAGAGCACTTGTCTAACAAATATGAGGCCCTGAATTTAAACCCTGTTACTACAAGAGAAAATCGTCAGTTCCCAGTTTAGCTTTATGGGAACCTTTAAGAGATGAGAACCAATGGGGAACATTGGATCACTGGTCCTTTAAGGGCATTGTAGGATAGCAGCCTCTTTCTCTCACTTCCTGACCACCACAAAGTACTATGTGCTATCTGTCATGATGCTCTTCCCCAACTTAGGCCCAAAAGCATCAGGGCCAACCCATCACAGACTAAGACCTCTACACCTATTAGCCCCCAAACCACCATCCTTTTTTTTTCTTCTTAAAGTTGATTGCCTCCAGTATTTCATTACAGTAATGAAAAGCTAATTAACACACTGGAGATCTTATTACTCTCAGCATTTGATTGTTAAATGGATGCCCACAGGGCTTTCATAAAAAGGCCTATAGTTAACTCAGCATTTCCTTCTATGTGCATCACCTTCAGTATTTCTCATATAATCTCTGTAAATTTGGAATCGTATTCTCACTTCACAAGGAGAAAACTGGGGCTTAAAAATGTCAAGTATAAACGCAAGGTCATAGCTAGCTGACAGGAAAGCTGCTTCTAACTTGACAAGTGGCACAAACTAGGAGGCCCTAAGCACACTGTCGCTGAAAATGTAGAGAGCCATCAGTACCAATTAGTCCCCCTGGAGCTGAACAAACACTAATGGAAAAGCATTTGGAAAGGAAAAGTATGTATCACTTCAATCTGTTTTACTAAGTAATAAACTCTAAAAGAATAAAGCGCTAACCTTAATTCCTTATTGGGCAATTATTATTTAATAAAAATGATCCTCAGAAACTTCTGATTCCTTTCTTTTCCTTTCATTTCTTTTTTCTTTTCTTCTTTCTGCCTCTGTTTCTGTTTGTCCCTCCTCCTCTCCCTCCACTTTTTCTTCCCCTCCCCCTTCCTCCTCCTCCTCCTCTTTTTCCTCCTCTCTCCTTTCTTCTGCAGGCCTGGAACTCAGGATCCTCTTTACCTCCTCCTCTTGAGCACTGGGATTACAAGCAGGTGCCACCAAGCTCAGCTCATTTGAAACTTTCTTCACACTGAAAAGCTACTAGTGTCTTTTGCACATAACCTCTTATGAGTTCACTCCAAAAATTGTGGTCTAAGAGCATAGAATGGTTCCTTCCTTGGTTTGGGGAGAGGAACAATGGTCCTGAGCAGGATGAAATGAAATGACTACCTGCATACTTGATAAAAGAGAATGGCCAATGGGACATTCATGCCGAGAGCACTCAATGACAAGGTCCTCATGGTGAGTGTTTTAGTCTTACCAGGGATGCCGAGCTGCCTGCTCACAGGTGTATCTTTTATTTGGGTCTTTTTCCATCAGATTCCGAATGAAGTCTTTTGCTGTTGAAAAAGGAAGTGCAAGGACAAAGAATCACTTTGTGGCTTGAGCTGTGACCACTAGCCACCACTGTATCTTTGAGAGGAGCATGTGCACTATTAAAAATCAGAGACCAATTTCTATAGACCGTACTGCATAGCTCAGACACAAAAGACCCCAGGCATTTGGATGCTGAGTCAAAGCAGAGCCATGGCTGGGACTCTTAAGGGTGACCCATGACTAAAGAAACAGCAAAGCCAGGCTCGCACCCCCGCATGAGCCAGCTGCTGCTACCACTGCCTTCAGTTTAGAGAAGACAGGAAATGCTCTTCATAATCTTCTTCGGAGAGACACATGGGGGATGTTCCCTATACAGACACCGCAGACGTTACTGAATCCACCAATGGGGCTGTGAGATTACCAGGCACAGAGGATCCCAGTCCAATTGGACTACTACACTGCAGTGAACAGGAATCCACCCCTGGGGGACGTGGAGAGGGCTGGCAGCTGGGGTCATAGGATCCAAAGCTGACACTGTGTGTCACCGTGGAAACCTGTTACGTTGCAGGGCATGGCAGCTCACTGTCCACTGGACTGGGCTTGGGGGTGGGGAAGGCTGTGCCCTCTGAGCTTAGAAGTACAATATCCCCGCCCCCCAGGGATGGGGGTTCCTAGGGTTTGAGAGCTTGGAGCCTAACTTTCCAGTTAGGAGGAAATAACCTAAACAATAGAGTGCTCTCTCTGAACAACCCATCAGTCTTCAAAGTACTATCTCATTTATCATTTCAACTCTCCCTTCTACTGCTCTTCCTGGGGGGTAGGGTGTCGTTTTCTCCCTGTAAGGAAACTGAGGACCACAGAGATTGCACCACCACCTTACTTGGGCCTTGGTTTTGTTCTTTATGTCTCAGGAAGGATAGTGAACCTCTTGGAAGGAGAATTAGGGTTCAAATCTCAGCTCTGGTATGTACTACCGGTGTGATTCTGGTCAAGTTAGTCCATCTTCCAGGGCCTCAGTTTCCCTCTCTTGTCAAACGAGGACACTAGTTTTCCCCATGAGATGGGCAGTTTTGAGGACTGAGTTAGCCATGGACGGGACTCTTCTGCTCAGCACTCAGCTGGCACTGGGTAAGCATTAGCTAATATTATTTCACTCCTGGGGTGCTCAAACCAAGGCATGGCTGGAGACTAGATAGGCAAGTCACCATCTCTTGTCTGGGTTAAGGTGAGGTGTCCCAAGCCTGCCTTCTAGGTTAAGCCCAAATATGTAGCTCATGAAGCTTCCCCAAGAGCTGTCATGGACCAATTGTTTGTGTCTCTCATAATTCCCATGTTGGGATTCTAAGTCCTAAGATGAGGATGTGCAAGGTGAAGACATCAAGAAGACAGCTGCCCATGAACAGGAAGTGGCCCTCACCAGACAGCGGCTGTGCTGATGCCTTGGTATTGGACTTGAGTCCTCCAGAATGGTGAGAAATAAACATGTGATTAAGCCCCTCTGTCTGTGGGACTTTGTTAAAGCTTCCCCAATGGATGAGACAGGGACCTAGGGGTTGTTCTGAGCTTTCGCCAGCCCCTGTCTGTCTCGGGTCCCTGGACCTGCAGCATTGGTTACTAGGTATCATAAATATCATAGAGGCCGCCATGGGAGCGGTGTGTGGAAGACTCACCAGAGTCAGAGATGTCATCCCAATAGGGGGAGTCAAACTCATATTCTGCTTTGAGGATCTGTTCAAAGAGCTTGGAGTCATTTTCATCATAAAAAGGAGGGTAGCCGCAGAGCCTGGAAGAAAGGATGGTAACAGATCTGAGTGCTGGCAGAGACAGTGGAGTGGGCCTGCCCTTAGCCTGGAAGGGTCACTGTGGATGAAATTAGGAAAATCCGCAGTGTGCGCACCACAAACATCATCGCAGTGGAGGAAGCCCACATTCTGTACGCAAAGGAGCCAAAGAAGCAAGCTGTAGCAAAGAGGGTGGGCTCAGAGAGAACAGATATATTTAAATCCACCTTAACTTTTTTTCTTTGAAATACCAGGGACAGACTTTAGGATTAACTTATGAGCACTTCTACCACTCGAGCCAAGCTCCAGATCTTCATTTTTAGTTTGTTTTCAGATAGGGTCTCCTGCTTTTGGCAAGGCCAGTCCTGGATTCCAATCCTTCTACCTTTACCTCCTGAGTAGCTAGGATTATCTGGCTGTATCCCCACTGTCTGGCTTCCACCTTAATTCCTTAGGTAAAATTAACTAGAGTCCTATGACCAGATAGCCTTTTGTGCTTGAATGTTATTAATCTTGTCTATAATACTGTCTCAAACAGATAGGTTGATGGGAAGAACTAAATATATGTTTAGCAATACATTTCAGGACCCTTCTAGATTGGTTTAACTTAAGAAATTATCACAGGAAGAAAAGGAAAATTTACAACCCTGAGTTCCAGGTTTCTGTGCGTGCACATTATCAGTCTTTTTTGCTTAGCAAATACCCATCAATCAATCAATCAATCAATCAATCACCAGTCTGCCAATCATGGCTTGCCATTCCAGTTCTGTTCCCAGTCCTGCCACTGATACAATCTGGGGAACTAAAATTTCCTCACGGGAACATGCAGATGGTTTAACTAGATAATTCTTAATATTCTTTTGGGCTTTAAGCCACCATGGCTCTGTGACTCTTACCCAGTTGTTTGTCTAAACACTTCAAAAAAGACCAGAACCTTGTCGGAGGCTCGTGTGAGGCAGAGGCCATCCTTGGCTGAGACTGCCATGGAGGGACATTGAGGCTGAGACCCCAGAGTTAGGGGACCTCAGGAAACAACAGTGCATGGCTATGGAAGTCAGGTGTAAAGTGGAAGGAATATTTGTTCCAGAAAAGCCATGGACCTTGCCACACAGCTCAGCATGGTTGCAAAGACAGCTTCAGCCTTGGGATTTGTTTAATGAGAAGTTAGCAGGCATTGGGTAGGCTGCAGGCCTTTCAGGGCTGAGAAATGTGAGAAAGGAGAAAACAGCCTTGGTGGCTCCATTCTTCAGCACCCCTCTCTGACAGGCCCGCTGCGGAGGGACGAAAGGGTGATGATAGGGTTTAAGGCTGTGATACTTTTCTACAGGCTGATAAAATTCAAAATCATCTATTCCTCCCTCCCCACGGCTGTCTTTCTGCCTGGAAAATTTCAGCTTTAAAGATTTGCTGCCTTTGGTAAAAATGAAACCAAAAGCCAGCAATTCCGGAACCACAGTACAAACTTCACTGCCCCAGGAAACCCTGGGGCGGGAAGATGGAAGGGAACATTTTTCCCATAATGGGAGTTTGGGCTAAATGAAATGTGGGCATTGGGAAAAGCAGACTGAGAAAAATATTAGCTTGCCTTGGAAAAAAAAAGTGTCTAAAAGTTAGATATATAAGGTTTTTTGTTGATTAACAACTGAGTATGTTTTACTTTATGGTTTGGCTTTCTCTTTAAGGAAAAACAAATCTTTTTTAAAAATTCCAAGAAAGAGTTATTATTCTTTGGGTGCCAATTTTCTTAATGTATATTCCAATTTCTTTTCATCTTAAGTTTCTCCTCCCCCCACCTTTTTTTCCTTTTTTTTTTTTTGTACAGACTACCATGTTGATGAGGGTATACTGAGGTATAATGACAGAGGAAATGAATCTACCTCAGGACTGGGATGGGCTACTGGAACTAGAAAAAACTGAGGGTTCACAGGGGTGGAGGAAAATGATGGAAGGGGTGACATGATCAAGATGCATTCTATCCATAAACAGGTATGTTGAAATGAAACCCCTTAATACAACTACTTAAGAATAATAAAAATATAAATATAAAAAAGGGTATGAAGCTGGGTGCACATGGCTTATGCCTGCAATGCTAGCTACTCATGAGGCTGAGATCTGAGAATCAAGGTTCAAAACCAGTCTGGGCAGAAGAGTCCATGAGAATCTTATCTCCAATTAACCACTAAAGAAAGCCAGAAGTGGAGCTGTGGCTCAATGGTAGAGTGACAGCCTTGAGCACATAGGCTGAGGAATAGCATCTAGACCCTGGGTTCAAGTTTTAGGACAAGCATATAAAAGAAAAAAAAGGAGATGAAGAAAAAATAAAATAAAAAGAGGACTTAGACTTGTGAAAAACCAGAATGGCAAATGTAGTTTGTAAAGGCTTCTTCCCATCTAAAAACTGGACGGTGAGGTCTCTGACCAGGTGATTTCATGGACAGCTTTGTGTGGAGCTTCCAACAAGATGGATGTGTCCATCCACATGTGCTGGTGGTGGATGGTTGTAATGTTGTGGTCACTGGATGCCTCAAAGCACTTCTAATCCCTGTGTTCTTTAGTAGAATTCCTGTGACACTACTGATTTTATACCCCAACCTTTAAATGACCTCTAAATTATATGTCGTTGTGGGTACACAAAGAGGATAAAGCCATTCCCAATTTCTCCAGCCCCAAAACATTATGGCTCAAGATGACATTGAATTTCCCCATGCATAATGGTGGCACATGAGGCTGAGTTAGGAAGCTCTGGAGTTTGAGGCTAGCCTGGGATCCATAGTGTGACCTGATCTCAAAAATGAATAATTAATTAACCAAAAGAAAGAAAGTAGAGAAAAGGAAAGAAAAGATGGAAAGGATGGGAAAAGGAAAGGAAACTTCCATTGCAGCCTTGGAACCATCATCCAGGAAGTCCAGAGGGCCTAGGCAAGCCTTTCCTTAACCCCCTGAAGAGCAGCTAGGATGTTACAAGGAAGAGCTGACCTCTGTCAGGTGGACCCAGGCCTTCTCTGCATGCTCCTACACCAGTCAAAGCTCCTACACTGATCATGAGCTCTGAGGGCCGGTCATGTCTTGCACTGGTCTTCTGATCCTCAATACCTAGGCCCTGTCTGTAGCTCACACTGGACAAAGACTTGGATTAAATGCACACCCTCTAGAAGAAGGGGCCTGCCTCATTAGCTCCTGGGTTCCATGGAGGGGCTCTGAAGCAGACAGTGGTACAGATCTAAGACATAAGAAAGTGGGCCCCTGCCCCAGACCACAGTGACCTCCAATTGTTACCTCTCCTACCTCCCCATTCTGCATGCTCCCCTTATAGGAGGGGGTGGAGACAGCTCCATCCCACGTCATTCAGTCATTCCAGAAGGACTCAATGTGCAGGCCTGGCTCTGAGGATAAATGCAGCGTTGGGTTTGGGTTACCCACAATGCCACTCCTGGCCATGGACCCACTCCACAAGGGAGGAAGTTTTCCAAGGAGAAAGCTTTTCACACAACTCAATGTGAAAATTGACGATGGTCAACCCTGCCTAATCCAGCAGTGAGAAGTTTTTCTTGGAAACTGAAATGCAAGAATAGCATAAAAGCTCCAGTGGAAAAGCCCTGTGGGTACACCATGGTCGTTACCCTACAGGAAGTCATGTTCTTCTGCTGTTTGTCTGTGGCCATGTATTGTATCCATGCAAAACCAGATGACTTCGGATAGGAGGTCCAAATGCTGACCATAGCTCACCTTGGCCACCTGTGTTTCTCTCCCCTAATTATGTCAGAGGTGACAGAGCAAAGACATGAAGAAGCTAGTATCAGAAACGGTGGTGGGAAAAGAGCCAGCCACATCTGACAGCAGGTAGGGAGTTCTTTCACTGAAAGTTGCCTTAATTTTATTGTACTTTATGTGTTTGCAATCTGAACACTTCACATGAGCTCTCTCTTTTTACTGTGTGGTAGTAGGGGTTTTAACTCAGGGCTTTTTGTTTTCTAGGCAGGCACTTTACTATTCAAGGCATGTCTCTGGCTCAAGAGCTATCCTCTCAATATTTACGTGCATGCTATAGTACTGTGGAGTTTGATGGCTTGGATAGGAACTGTCCCTAGCAAAAGCTTATGTGTTGAAGGCTTACTCTCCAGCTGGTGGCGCTATTGACCCCTCACTGTGTCACCAATGGATTCATTGATTAAATTCAGAGCTGAGTGCCCTCCCTGACCCCAAAGTGGAGGATGTGGGTCACCAGGCCCCCCTGGCTTTGAAGGGAATGTCTTATTCCTGGCTCTTTCTGCTTCCTGTCATGAGGTCGGCGCTTTGTTCCACCATACCTTCCATCATGATGCTCTGCCTCACTCATAACCCAGAAACAACGGAGCCAAGCAGGGATAGAGTGAAACCTCTGACACCATATGCCCAAAATAAATCCTTCCTCCTTCTAAGTTGCTTTCTTGGATATTTTGTCACAGTAATGGAAAGTGACTGACACATTGACCGCAAGAACCAGGGTGTACAGTAATCTTCACTGCTTATTCACCTTGCTTAACCTAAATTCTCTGCCTTTGTTAGTAACATCCTTTCTCCTCCTCTGGCTCTTGCAAGTAACTCTTAGGCTCTCAGGCTGTCTTTTACAAACCTCACAGAAGGAGAATCACTCAGTATTTGCTTTCCTGTTTTTGGCTCATTTCACTTCACACAGCGTCTGCCTGAGTTCAACCATGCCGTAGCATGTAACAAGTTTCTTCTTGAGGTATAGTCATAGCATGCATTATCTGTAACCACGTTTTGTTTATCTATACATGCTACTGATGGATATTTAGGTTGCTTTGGTTATTGTGAACAGTACTGCTATGAGCATGGGCACTATAGCTCTTCTAGATTAGTTAATTCTTTTGGAATAGCTCTTCTAGGTTAGTTAATTCTTTTGTGATTGCATTGGTAGTTCTATTTTTTTTTTCTGTGCCAGTTATTGGGGCTTGAATTCAGATCAGCATCCCTGAGCTTTTGTGTTGAACCACAGGTTCAA